GGGCGAACGCACTGGAAAAAAATCCATTGATATGTTTGAGCACATTACAATATAGCCACAGGATGGAAATTTTATATACAGGTATTAAAATAACAATTATGAGAAAATTTATTCTATAAAATGTTAATTAGAACAGGCAGGAGATAAAATTAGTTATAATTCAAGTGCATATATAATTATTTTTAAGGAATGTACAGAAAAAGGACAAATGAAATACTACTATTAATTATACTAAGAATTCGGGGTTAATGGGTAATTTTCTTAATTTTTTTGCTCTTCCTCAATTTTTCCAAATGTTTAATGAAGCTTATATAATAAATAAAGAGAATCTGTGAAAACAAATAAAAAAAACCTGATTTGGAAGTAATTAAGAGTAAGGAGGGTATAATCAAATTATTTCTAGAATTATTCTGACTCAAAGACAGATTCTAGAGTAAAATTCAATTTAAAGTAGATATATTTTAAAAATCAACTGTATGTAATGTATGCAAAGGTCTTGTTATAAATCAATCTGACCTAAAAATATTTTACTGTACGTAGGAGATGACAGTATGTTAGCTCTTTTAAAAATTTAGGCTTTCTAAAAGAACATGAGACATTTAATTTAGACACTTTTAGAAAAGAACATGAAAATAGCCTTCCTACTCTCTCATATATACAATTAAATTACTTGCAGTTTCTGTGGTATAATTTCATAATGATTTTCACATATTACTAGACTTACAAAAATACCATATGTCTTTTCTCCTTTCTCTATTTTATATAGGAAAGCAGATTTAAAATTACAGGTCATCATAAGTTCTAAAGAAAAAATACAAAAAAACTACTTTATACAATTACTTTCTATTATACAATCACTAGATGTATACTTTTTGATAATTTACATTTTCTTATGACAATTCCTACTGCATAAGAACCAACAGAAGGACAAAAACTCAATTCTCTTAGCAAAGGTTTGAGGAGGAGAAAGATGAAAATGAACAGAACATTAGAAATAGAAAAAATTATCGCAAGTATGAGAACCCAAACTATATTATCAATGAGAAATTATCAATTCCTGTAAAAACTCATACAAATAAACAAAATTAAGTACTTAGTGCTATTTACAATTAAAGTAAGAAAAATATTAAGTCAACTACATATCAGACATTGTACCTGGGCCTTTTATAAATTCATGATCTAATTTAATATGGTCATTATTTACCATAGATTTACTACACAAGACAGCATTATAGGTGCATTTTCTACACATCTATTTTCTCCATTAACTGGTAAGCTCCTTGAGGCAGGAATGTTTTACTAATTGCATACTTCCACGCTTCCTGGCACAAGGTCCGTATTAGGTGTTTAATACGGGCTAAATGAATTTAATTTATTACAGGCAGGGTGACTATACATCTCCAACTGCCCAAGATAGTTCCAGTTTTGCCTGTGGTACCAGCATTATCAAAAAATAGTGTATCCTTTTCTTTCAAAGTGTCCTGATCTAAACAGTAAATTACCTGAAAATACTACTGCAGATAATTTAAAGTTCTTTCTAAAACTGTCATTAAAATTTCCAGAATGCAAAGAATGAATGAACTAAGGCACTAAGCACAATCAAATAAAGCAGCAGAAGTGAAAAGAGCAGGTGAGGAGCAGAAACAGGTAGCACCACAGAATACTGAGCCACTTCGCCTCTTCTGTGGCCTGTTGGTCTCAAGAGAGTGCAAGTCCTACATTCAGAGGTTCTTCCAAAAGCTAATTTTGCATTTAGACCAGCACTGAAGGGGTTCTCATTTCAACTGGGGATGCAAGGAATTCAGAAGGCTTATAATACAACAAGCATTACATCTTCTATAGCTCCCTACTGACCAAAGAAAAACTGTGATGAATCTGTATATTCAAAAGCACCTTTGGAAAGAGCATCCATTTATATTTTGAATGAGATATTTGGAGTATACTTCATATTATTCTTCTCTTTCCATTGAAGAAAGATTTTATAAGACCAACCTTCAGGAAAAACAATAAGCCATTAATAAGGCTTCACTGACCTCTGAAATTAAGTAATTTATTGATACATAAATACATTTAATTAAAACACTTGTTTTGTTATGGGTTGAACTGTGTCAACCCTAAAACTCCTATGTTAAAGTCCTAACTCCCAGTACCTCCGAATGTGACTGAATTTGGAGACACGATCTTTAAAGAGGTAACTAAATTAAAAATGACATCACATGGGTGGGCCCTAATCCAATATGACTGGTGTCCTTACAGGGAGAAATTAGGACACAGATACACACGGAGGGAAGACCATGTGAGAAGGGAGAAGACTGCCATCTACAAGCCAGAGAGAGGGGCCTCAGAAGAAACCACCATTGCTAACACCTTGATATTGGACTTCCTGCCTGCAGAACTACAAGAAATATAAACATATGTTGTTTAAGTCGCCTGGTCCATGGTGCTTTGTTATGGCAGCCCTAGCAAGTGAATATACATTTCTAAACATATGCCAGAAATACAGAAGTAGAAAATAAACAAGATTAAAGAAAATAAATAAGATGAAAACATGTTTTACATATTCTAACCAGTTAATTTTTTTTAAATAGGAGTTTATTTAAGGATAGCTTCAATGCTCAACAAGAACCTACCAGTCTAATTTCAAGCAAACAGATAAAAATAAGATGTAGAATCTGATCTTGATGAGTTGAAGCAAAATTTAGAATTTAAGCAAATACTGGATCTGTCCAAACTTCTATAACCTCTCACATTCCCTATAAATCCACCTAACTCAGCAAACCAGCATTTTCAAATATCTAATGCATATTACAAAATGATGCATGGTGGAAAAAAGATCCATTTAAAGAGCAAGAAAAGCCACTGTTTTTTTATGTAACATAGAACAAAATGTCCACTGATTTGGTTTCAGATTCCCACTTGCAACTAACATTTAAGAAACTACCATTTGTTGAGTTTCGGCACAGTATCAAAGAAGAATATTCACAATTACCTGAAAAGGCTATGAAAATACTCCTCTCTTTTCAAATTACACATAGGTGTGAGGCTCAACTGTCTTCTCATTGTTTAACAAAGTAACATGTTACAAAAGGCTGAGTGCAGAAACAGATGTTAAGAATCCAGGTATCTTCTTTTAAGCCAATCTTTTAAAAACTTTGCAAAATTATAAAGCAATACCACTCTTCTCATTGATGTTTTTGTTCTGGGAAGTGTATTTTTAATAAAAGTATGTTATGGGATGTAAACATGCAATAGACTCATTACTATTATTGGCAAATTAATTAAGTTGTGTTTAAACAATTTCTCAGTTTTAATTTCTAATACAGTAAACATCAGTAGCTATAATCTATATAAACAAAAACTCTTTGAAGTTCTTGTTATGGGCTGAATTGTGTCCCCTCCAAACTCATCTGTTGAAGCCCTAACCCCTAGTGTGACTGTATCTGGAAACAGGGCCTTTAAGGAGGTAACTCCTAGGGGTGAGGCCCTCATCCTACAGGACTGGGGTCCTTAATAGAGGAAGAGGCACCAAGGAGCCCTGTCTGTCTGAGTGCTCAAAGAGGCAAGGCCGTGTGAGGACACAGCAGGAAGGTACCATCTGCAAGTCAGGAAGAGAGGTCTCCTCAGAAACCAATCCCATCAGCACCTTGATCTTGGACTTCTGGCCTCTAGAACTGTGGGAAAATAAGTATCTTTTATTTAAGCCTATGGTATTTTGTGATGGCAGCCCAAGCAGATGAACGCAGTCCATGGTATTGTTAAAAGAGCTTAGAAGGGATCCTGAGACCAAAAAATTTGAAAATCACTAAGTGAGAAAACAACCATTTGGCTGTGCAAATTAAATGTTTGTAAACAATCTCTTTTCATGTTTACAACTTGGAAAAGTAATCATAATTTTCATTAGCTATCCAAAGTAGAAAAAGGGAGAAAATTAATGTTAACTCTAAAATAACCTTTTAAACCTTGATATATACAGTTACACGCCATTTGAAAGCATACGAAAACGGGGAAACACTGTTAAAGAATTAACGCAGGCTATGAAGATGGCCACCTTTCATTTTCAGGAAACCAGCCTTGTCAATCTGTCTGGTCTAGCACAGGCTAACTCTCAGAGTACTTGTTAAAGTCTATTAACTTTCTGAATATAAAATCAGACATAAAACCAAAGAGGAAACCTCCAGTTTTGCTTCATGAGAAAAAATAACCAAAAAAATTACAAGGTGACAGGAAGAAATCAATCAGTAAACTGACAAACACACCAAGGACAATTTTTCTAACCATACAAAACTTATCAAGGCTATAGGGAAATAACACAGTAATAGTAAGAAACTCTATTTCAGTACATGCAAAAATCAAAGATTTTGCTCTCCTAGTAATGATAGTTTATAAATCAAAAATGGCATCAAAGCTGTGAAAGTCACCTAAGAATGAAAACTTTAATAGTTATGGGCCTTTAATTAATTATTAGGTTATAAAAGCTTAGATTGAGCGGAAAAAAATGCATTTACCTCAACAATGTTCTGAATCTCATGGACACAATATGTTGTTGGGTTGCTTTTTAGTAACATATCAATTGTGCACTTAAGTACTACAGTTTTCTGCATGGTAGTCCTCTAAAAATCAAGCAAAATGCTTAATATCTAACGCTCTAATGCTAGGAAGAACATTCAAAATTACATTTTAATACATTTCATTTCATATAACTTTGTATGGAAAAGAAACACTAGTTCAACTTAAGCTAACTTTTCTCTTGGCTCAATGTTTGTACGGAAAAATTATCATGCAAACCTTTTGGAAAAGTATAATCAATCCATGGGCATGCAAGTATCAATTTTATCTTATGAGAGTTTCTCCATGTTCCAGTTACTTCATTCCTTATTACATGCTGCAAAAAGCAGTAATAATTTTTATAGCCAAATATCACTTTGTAAGATACCAGGTGGCTTTCAATATTTACCATATAAGTCATGCATGAAATTTAAACATTACAAAAAATGACTTACCAGTTGACATTCCTGAAATATGCACATTTTCAGAATGTTCTGCAAGAGCACCATTTCCTAAAATTAAACATAATGAATAAACTAATTTCCAAGATAAAATTTTAAAAAATTTTTCAGATTTTCCCTTTAACAGAAAAACTACACAGAGTTACTTGTAATTTTCAGAAATTAAAGTCTCTTATAATAAAATCTTCAAAACAATACCACAAAGCCCAAAATTATAACAGTAGTAGGGAAAACAAAATGTTTTAGAAATCACAAAATAGTGTAATAGATAAAAACAAAAAATATAGATCTGATTAATACCAGAAAGGATTTCCTATCAAGTTAATAATCAAAAGAGAACTTAGTACTATTACTAAAAAAGAGACAATCATATACTTTTTAAAAATAGCATTCCTCTGAAATCAGTCCACAATGTGCTTAGTGCTAGGGTAACACATGTTGGTACTTACAAAAAAAAATGTTTTGCATTGTCTTGTAAATCTTTCCACATTTTCTCACCAATGACTCTAATAGTCTTTAGACTGGGGACAGAATTAAATCCTATTCTGGTAGCCCCTGATGTTCCTACACCTCCTGCCACAAAGTTGGGCACATGGATGCATTCAAGTAACTTACTTAAGTGAGTTATGAGTGTCACCTAGTAAAATAAAAGTGTTTTAAAAAGACTCCCATTTAAAGTATTGATACTATTTACTCCTTTAAATTCATGTGAAGTGTCTCCAGGTATTCTTTTTTAAAATTTTATTTAATCATAAATTATTTCTGTCTACTTTTCATGTACAAATCGCTTATCTTTACTTCTAAAGTTTTGTCTCTTTCTACTCATTAGGTCAATTTAGCATCACAAGACCTAAGGAATCCAGCTAACAGATTCTCCCCAGAGTGGGGCAGGGGAAGAAACTAGGTGATAGAAACTTTGGGCAAAAGCACAATTCTCTTCGAAGGTTGAAAGAGTAGAGACGATAGCAAATATAATCAACAACTATTCTTTTGCAACCATCACACTTCTATGGTTACTTGATTACTGCATAGCATCCCCCCATGCACTAAGCTCTAGGACAGCAGAATCTGTGTATACTTGGCTCATCATTGTATGCAGTTCCTAGAACAGAGCAGGTGCTCAAAGAGCTAATGAATGAATGAGGGAGGTCATGATGATTCAATGAAATCATGCCAATTAAGCACCTGACATAGTGTTTGGCTCACAGCACTGAACAGGAATTCATTTTTGCCACTACGTAAAATATATTTTTATCATTACTAAAGATTAATAGTGATAAAATAAACTTTTTAGTTCAACTACAGCTATAGCCTTCAAGATGAAAAGAAATGTTGTTTCCCTCCATTAAAAATGATACAGTGGACATGGTAACATAGGTGTGTAAGCCACATTTAGTACACAAATAAATCTGATTACAGGTATTTACTTAAGTACTGTGCATTAATGCTGCAGAAAGCACAATTTATTTTTCCCAGCAATGTTAATGCTACAGACATAGAAATGAAACCACTAAAAAGCTCCCACCTATTTCTTCAAACTGCACACAACTTACGGCAATTGGTAGCATAAACAAAATGGTGTAAGAAACTGATTCAATAAAACAACAAGATTTGCCAAAGGTCAGTATAAATTGCCTAAACCTTTGCTACTTACAAGGTAGATCAACAGGTTATTAATAGAAATGTAGAGTCTCAGGCCCTGGTCCAGATTACTGAATCGGCATTTACATTTTAACAAGATCCTCCCCGACTCCCAGTAATGCGTACGCACATTAACATTTGAGAAGCACTGGCTTAAACCTTCCACTTCTAGGGCAGCTACGACTCCAAATTACAGGTGTGTAATTTGTGACCCTAAGGTTTCTAATATTCTTAAGGTAGCATATTAAATTATTCTCAGGAGAGTTCTAATATTAGACATTTTACACACTAAATTTTTTTCTAATTCAGTAAAAAAGTGTTAAGACAGGCAGAAGGAAAACAGTAACATAATGTGGTATTTAAGACTATGGATTCTGGACTAGATTGCCAGGATTCTAACCCCAGCTCCACTACTTATTTGCTGTGCAATGCAGGGCAAGTTATACAGCCTCTTTGTATCTTAATTTTATCTCGAAAATGAAGAAAATAATATGTCTTACGGGGCTTGGTGGAATTCTTTATTATAGAAAAAGAATTTAATCTACATCTCCATCAGCATGTAAATGACTAAAAATTGCCTCATAATAAAATATTCAATAAACTGAATTAAGTAATTCTGTATGTACTAACTTAGAAAGACATGCACATTAAGTTAAATGTGTTCAGAATAACATTAAAATACGACCTATTTTTAACTTTTAAATGTTTTATGTATAACGTGCATATGTTTACATAGGCAATGATATATGCATGTATATGGATTTACATACATATATATATTTTTTGAAGGGTCTAAGGGTATATACAAATTGTGGAAGAAAACCTCTGGAACTGGAGTTAGAGCAGATGTGTTTTGTATACTTCAGCATTGACTGAATTTACCGTTACAACAGGCACAGATTTCTTTAAAAAAAAATTTAGTCATATTGAAAAAAACAGAGAATATAGTTCATTTCCCATCATTCTAAACAAACAAAAGTCTAATAAACAGTGTGAAATATTATAAAATATTACAATTTCAGGGGTATTATTTTTACTCTAATTTATTCTAACTTAAAAATAATCCTATTTAGAAGTTAGAAAAAAAATTAATGCTAATTTCTTTTTTTTTTTTAGAAAGTAATCTTTTTTTTTTTAATGACATTCACTTTTTTTTAACTTTTTTTGGCGGGGGGGAGGTAATAACGTTTATTTATTTATTTATTTTTAATGGCAGTGCTGGGGATTGAACCCAGGACCTCATGCATGCTAGGCATGCACTCTGCCACTGGGCTATACCCTCCCCCCAATGCTAATTTCTGATAACATCAAATAACTATCCCTTTTTTGGGGTACATTAGATATTTCTTATTCTAAGTATCATGTGAAGTAACTGGGTACTTAATTTAGGGGTACTGCCATTCTAAAAAGTATTCTACAAAAATTCCACTTATAAAACACAATTATTTCTATGTTATAAGCAAATAGCACACCCAAATTGCTTTGTTGATATGAAGTTCATTGTATTTTACTAATGTCCTGCCCCCAACTCCCGAGAGAAGAAAACCCATCCATATATGAGGATGTGTACCAGCTCCTTACGACAACTACAGTGTAGCCCTGTTAGATATTCTCACTGAAGTCACCCTTTAGAGGTGCCACATACCAGAAAAACATACAGAAGTAATGTTTCATCAGACTATAGCTATACACCAGCAGCTGACTAATTAGTTAATGGACCAGCTAATTAACAAGAACTAGAAAACAAGAAGAAGTTTTATTATCACCTAAGTCAGGAAATAATTTTTTGTAACTTTTTTTTTAGTCCTACTAACCAAATACCTAAGGTGATCAACTGTCCCCATTTATTCTTCTTCTTGCCAAGCTGAAACACAGTTTTGTAGTTTTTGATTGCAACACAAGAGAAAGAATCTTTTAAAAGATGTATGTTCTGTTTTAGGAAAACAGGCCACAGGGTGGTGAGTGTGAGCTCTGGAACCAGACTGTGGAATCAAACTCCAGCTCTACTATTTATTTAGACATGAACCTTAATTTCTCCTAAGATTTGCTTTACTCACCTAAATAATCAGGACGTCATCATTAAGAGATGTCTAAATTTAGTCTCTGCATCCCTGTTGCTTTGTATCTTTCTTTGTTTATTTTTATTCTTTTCATTTAAGAACTACGGTTCTTAAAGAATAGCTATTAAGTACAGCTGAGATTTGAGAGATACGTGCCAGCCAAATCCTGAGTGCCTTACAAGGCTTCCTTCAGCTCATCCTTAAAACAGCAGTTCATTTTACCGGTGAGAAAACCAACTTCTAGCAATTTAGTAATTTTTTCAAAGAGCCAGTAATTGGATAGATTGAAAATTCAGATTTACAGTCATTAAGAAGTTTGTCTTCCTTACTTTTTTTTCCCCTTTGAAGAACTCAGACATGAATATACTTCTTGCTTGTAAAAGAAACAGCACTTAATTTTCAGAGTTAAAAACCACCTGCCACAACTATTCCAATTTGTATGGGAAAGATCATTGATTTAAAAAGTTAACAAGGGCAGTTACAAGTAACTTATATGCTCAGCATCTTACAATCTTGTTTTCACTGTGCACTGAGAACAGTTATCACACACCAAAATGTGTATGTATGTTCATATATATACCCCCAAAGCAAACATCATTCCTATTTTACTTTATTTAAGGAAAAGTCCCAAATCCTAATAATTAGGGCTTACCAAACTCTCCACAATGTGGTTCTTCCCAACTACTTCAGAAGCTTCATCTCTTGTGATCCACTTTTCCATTCTCTCTCTTCTCTCCAGAAATATTGGATTTCTTTTAGAAAAGCGTTGACTGTCTCTCTTGCCTTTGTACCTTCGTTTAATATATTATTTCCTTAGAGAAGCATCTCCTGATTCTCCTCATATTAGGTTAGATCATTCTGTTATAGGTTCCTATAGTATCTAATACTGTCACTTTTTGAAAATTTATCACATTGGTGTTATCTGTGTAATGTCTGTTTCCCACCAGATCTTAATCTTGGTGGGGAAGGGGAGTGTACGTGGTGATGGGACATAGTTGGGTTTGTTTGGTTTTGTAACCCAATGACCAGCACAGCACGTAACACAGTAGAAAATATTTAGTCCATATCTGCTCAGATGAATGAATGGCAGGTTGATATACAAGGAAGAGGCATAGTCCCTGCCACCAAAGAGCTGATAATCTCTTGAGAAAATAAAAAATAGATGAAGCAGAAGCAAACAATATAAACCTAAAATAAAGTCAGCAAGATTCTTAAGTGAGAAGCCCTAGAAGCTTTTCTACTAAAAATGCAAATAGAAAATATCGTGCCCATTATGGTTACTGATAGCCAGAGCAACTACACAAAGAAAAGACAAATTATAGACATAAGAACTGGAAAAGAAGAGGTAAA